AGGCCGCCCGCTACTTGCGATACATTTGCTGTATCTTCTGTCAAATACAGAAGACTTCTGACGTTAACACTCAATGATTTGTCTTTTAATGGTTACATGTGGTGTTTGGTTCTGTTTTGTTTTGCTTTAATGTGATTTGCCATCTTTTTAAATGATTAATAATTTGAAATGCTGGTCTTCGTCTTGCTACATTATTGCTTTTAAAACAGTTGAAACATACCGCATGCCCTTGGGGAACTCCAGCTATCCAGCTGTAGTTTGATTTATCTGAGGAAGAATGCTCATGCCATTTTGTAAAACAAAAATGGTTCACCTCAGATGGAAAACACAGGGACAGTTTGCTGAATGTTTGTCAGGGTTTCACTCATTTCTGTCATCAAGTGGAAAGTGTTATTTTTTTTTTGGGTGTGTTCATATAATTATCCTGATAGTTGATAACAAACCTAGGGGTTTAACCCCAATTAGTTGACCATTTTTACTGTGCATTACAAGTGTACTTTCAAAAGTTGATTTCTATTTTCCCCTTTCATTAATTTTGCTCTGATCTCATGAGTTGCATGTCAGTCATTTGGATCAGATTTTTAAGCATTTCCATCAACAAGGACTTCATCTTCAATATAAAGTCATTTTGGTTGTCTTGTTTTAGTTTGCTTTCTCAGACCTTTTGGTGAAACTGAACCAATCATGTGTCCTCTGCATTTAGCTTAGGTTTTGCTCAAGTTTTATTACTTCGCTTGCACACATTAATTGATCTAAACTGTGTTCTTGATGCCATAGGGCAAAGAAAATGGAGATAATTCAAGACATGCTTGGATTAAAGCTGGGTAAGTTTCTCTTTAAGCATTATTGATATGATTAAGAGGAGTTGCATTATTAATGCAGTATTTTACTTTTTCTCTTTTTTTGTTATGGAAGTATTTATGAAAATACTGAATTATTTATGAGAAGTTAGGGACATTATATTAACGTGTTCATTGCCTGTGTATTAATTATTAAGCGTGGAAAATACTCCTTTACAAAGTGTTGATATCCACAGAAATGGGAGTGGAATATTTGGAATTGACAGTATGCCAGACCTGCGCAAGAAAAAAGCTATTCCTCTGGTTAGCGATGTGGTAAGTACTCTTTCCATGTGGCCTCACCTTAAATTAAAATCAAGAAAAGCTATATATATTTCTGTTATAATTCTCAACATGGTATTTTTCTCCAAAAGGAACAGCATCAATCCAAATCTTGCTGAAATATTACTTGTTCAATCTTATAACATGAAATAAAGACAATATTAATTTGCCAAATCTGGTTCAGACAAAAACTTCAGAATATGAGCAATTTTAGGTTTCATAAATGATAAATGACAACCTTTATAAATTTAAGTTCAGACAGATATGAAGTGAAGTAAAATCAACTCTCTGATCTCTCTCCTCCCCATGAAAAACGTAAAATTAAACCTCTACAACTCTTTTGAATGCATTCATTCTTCATGGTCAGGCTATGGTAAGTTTTCAGAATAACCCATATGACTGAACCTTATTTTTTGTGTATATCAAGATAATACTGCATCCACAGGATCAGTATTGCTGTAATAGTTTGCAAATACACAGCTAGAAAACATGACAATGTAAAAGTAGGATGTTACAAAGAAATTGTAATTGTTAAAATATATATGGAAATCGGTATTTAAAACTTTACTTATCATAATATAGTGTTTATGATATTAGCATATGTAATAAGATTCGGGTATTACAATAAAACATTTATTTTATACTCAATGAATGTATTTGCCAACCATTTCAACCTTAATTGATATACTGTAAAAGCAAGCTAGCAAAAAATGGTTCTTTTCATTGGTTTACTTTTTT